AAGGGCCTTTCCATCTGTGACATCTCCCGCCCCTCAGAGTTAATGAAGGGAGCAGGAGGCCTCTGGGAACTGGGTCAGTGGCAGCTCCAGCACAGGGCAGCTTAATTAAGGAAGGAAAGTGAGTGAGGGGGCAGGAGCCTGGTGTGGCCAGCCAGGAGAGCAGCTGGGCTTGGGGAAGCTGATGAAGCTGCATTTCCACCTGCCCTAGTGAGCTGCCTCGTTGTGTTCCCCACAGGATGGAAGACAATCTCCACTGCCAAGGACAGCCCTGCAAGCTGTTCTGCTCCTGACCTTTCTCTGTGCAATGGACCAGCCACATTCCCTTTCTGTTAAAGCACACTTGCTTGGCTCCAATACTCCTGACAGGGCCAACAGACACACCTTCAGACTCGGCAGTTGTCTTGCAAGAAATCTGTTCCTGGGCTGATGTGGTCCAGCATGGCTTGGGCCACGTTTACTTGTCTTCTTTGACATTCCCTGGCAGGCTCTAAAGATGGTAAAAAACCCCAAATCCTAAGAAATCCTTAGGGCTATGTCAAACCAGAACAAGGGAGAACTGCTTTTGCTGCGGGAATGTGAGATGAGAAACAAAGTTTGCTCCCAAGAATTTGGCAGGGGGATTGAATATAAACCCTACTGAGACGCCTGGACCCAGATGCAACTTTCCTAACAGCACAGAGTCAGTCAAAATTGCAGTCTTTATGTGGCCCCATTGCTTTCAGAAGCTAATTTTTATTTGGCCAGTTCTGTGTGTCTCAGAACAGTGGGAAGGTGTTCCTCCTACCTCACCAAGTGTTGGCAGGGGAAGGGGGAGCATGGAAGCAGGAGTGCTGGTCCTGGGAACTGTGCTCTGTTGCTGCCCCACAGGGAATTGCACAAGAGCCACACAGGCCTCTGGTTTGTGTTCACTAATTAGCTGAGTAATACAATCTCCTTTTGAATGTCCTTCCTGTTCTAGATCAAGAATGAGACATGCACTGGTTAAATGACTTACCTAAGGTCACATGGGGAGTGACTCATTGGCAGAGGCAGGAATTAACACCTGGTATCGTTAAATTCCTACTTCCTAGACCCCATGGCCTCTAATTTCTAGTGCTCTTCTCTTTCCTCTCCTGGCCTTTTTGCCTCTTTCCCACTGCAGGATTTGTCACATGTAATTTCCAAGGTGACAGTATCTGACCACTGCCAAGAAAACGAGACATCTGTCCTTTGCTGCAGACATCTACTGATACACAAAGAAGCTGAAGTTCCTTTTATTTCTTATCTTTTTGGAGCATTTTACCATGTTCTGCCCGAGCTGGCATAGTGCCAGATCTCCTCTGCGTCCAAGGCTCCAGCATTGCACATGCTGAAGGTGTTAGCCTGTCTTCTAATGTTATTTTCTGTTTTTCCAGAAGCATCTTCGCTGCAAATCCGTGAAGTGGGAACACTGCCCATACCCACTGTTAGTACAATAGCAGAATCACTTGCAAGAAATCAGTGGGTGGGTTTTATAAATCCCAGTTCAGTGTTTAGCAAGGTATAACATCTGTTGTGATCAATATTTAAGAGTAAGCCTCTTTGATAAAAAGTTACAGTAAAGCCTTTTGCTTCCTACTGAATAGCTAAATAATTCACAGGAGTGGCTGTAATCACTTTAAGCTTCTTGCGTTTCAAAGTAAGCAGAAAATTCAGAGTAATTCTGTAGAGAGGCAGAATAGCCAGCTGGATCGTGTTCCTGAGGAGCTGCTGTACTGGGAATGAAGTACTTTCAGGTTTTTAATGGCTGCTGAGGTATGCTGGAGTCAAATCAGGCAAAAAATTGTCTCTTTTATCATCCGTTTTTGATTATAATCTTCATGATACTCTGGCGGGTAAGTGCCAGCAGTCAGTGCAGAAATGATACCTGGGGTTTGAAAAGTCTGCAGGAGTGGGACTGTCGGGTGCGGCGGGAGAGGAGGGTGTGAGCAGCACCTGCTGCCACAGGGCTGCGGCTCCGGGCTGGGCACGGGACAGCGGCACGGGGGGCTCTGCCCGGGACAGCGGCACGGGGGGCTCTGCCCGGGACAGCGGCACGGGGGGTTCTGCCCGGGACAGCGGCACGGGGGCTCTGCCCGGGCTGGCACTCGCTGATCCCGGGGGAGCGGCCGCCGCAGGACTCGCCCCAGCCCCGCCCGGCCCGGCCCCTCCGCCGCAGCTCCCGCCGCCGGTGCGGGACAATGGCCCGCAGCCCCCGCTGGATCCCGCCGCCGCTGCTGCTGCTGCTGCTGCTGCTGCTGCTGGTGCCGCCGGCCCTGCCCGCCGGGTGTGCGGCCCGAGGGCTCTGCTGCCCCGGCCGCGACCCCGCCTGCCTGAGCACCGGCCGGCGGCCCGACGGCTCCACCGGGCCCTGCTACTGCGACCAGGCGTGTGTCCGCACCCTCGACTGCTGCCACGACTATGCCGAGACCTGCCCGGGTGAGGGGCTGGGGCTGGGCTGGGCCGGGCCGGGCAGCCCCCGAGCGGAGCGGTCCGTGCCCCCTCGGGCTCTGCCCGCGTGTCCAGGCGCGGTCGCGGCTGGCGGGGAGGGCGGCCGGGGCTGCGGGCGGCCCGAGGAGCGGGGATGATGCTGCGGGCGGCCCGAGGAGCGGGGATGATGCTGCGGGCGCTCCGCTCCCCGCCTGGGCCGCGGCTCTCGGAGGTGCCGGGTCCCGCCGCGGTCCCGTTGCAGCAGGAGCTCGCTGGGCAGGTCAGGATGCTGCTGCGTCTCCCTGCAGGACAGAAACGTGAAACGGGACGTTTCCTGACTGAGCCAGAATCCCCCAGTCCTTTTCCCTCTTGTGGATTGAATTACCGTGGGTGGGATCAGATCTGCTGCTCCTGTCAGTCTGTGCTGTCCTGCAAAAGGCATCGGCAGCTGCAGCTTGGCCCCCGATGCCCGTGTGGCTGTGTCGGGGTCCCGGGGAGCACAGTAGTGCTGCCTCCAGGGACGTCTTCTACTAAGTGCGGATGTCAATTAAGGAGAAAAGTTACTTTAGTAAGTGGAACGATCTCCTACTCCCTTCCCACAAACAGCATCCTCTAGGATCCTTAGCGCTCACATAATGCCTTTGATTTCAAACCTGCACAGCTGTGCCAAAGCAGAGTTGTGCTCTAGGCAGATGGGCACACGTTCCTGTGATATGTCTTTTTCCTTTTAACACAGAGCTGGAAAATGGGTTGGAAATAGGTTAATTCCAGAGTGATTTATACAAGATATGTCTGTGGATGAGGCCAGGCTGGCAGACCTGCAGACCCACAGCTCCCAAGGGCGGCAGGGAGCATGAAGTGCAGCTGCTGGGATCCCTGAAACCTGCCTGTCCCCTCCCGAGGAAGGACACCCAGCGCTGCAGGGCCGTGCACTGGGCTCCCCTGCTGCTGGGGCTGTTCAGGAGTGATGTTGGTGCTGGATGCCCCCCTGCCTTTGGTGCCTGACAACTATTGGGCTCTCAGCTGCTCCCTCAGCACCTCTGTGTCCAAATCCTGCTGCTCTTGGCAGTCGTCAGGGATAAGTGGGATGGACAGGAGCCTCTTGTGTCTATTCATACAGCTGATTCATTAGCTGAGTAATAAGGAAAATGTGTTGGCAGGATGTGGTCAGGCACTGTGAAGGGACAGCTGCTCCCCAGGGAACAGCAGCTCCTGCTCCCTGAGGTACAGCAGTGCCTGTTCACTGTGAGCTGCCAGAGCTGCTCTGCTGGGTGAGGTGTTTCTGTGTTATTTCTTGTGATTTGTTTGTCCTGGAGGTCAGGGACTCAGCTCTACTTTGACTTGTATTGCCTCCACAGCCTAACCTTTTCCAGTAGTCTTCTTTCTTTCGCTGCTCAAGAGCTACTTTATCAAACTGACTTGTAAAGCAAAATATTAAAGACAATGCATTAATATCTGACACCAAACAAAACTGAAGAGCACAATATTCTGATCAAATCAAATGCACAAAAGGATAATAAAGTTGGGTAGCCTACAGTCCCATGCAAAGGCTCATTCGTGGTGTGTTGCTGCATATAAGAAATGTCGCAATTACTTAGATAATTGATTTAATGTCTAGTCTTTGAATAGGTTTAAAAAGCTGTTTGTGTTGACTTTAGGCAAAAAAGTAAAGCAGTAGCATTTGAGTGATCATCCTAAAATTTCTGAAGACAAATGCATTTTCCAGTGAGGTTAATGCTGTAGTTAGGTTTGTCTGTGTTCTGAGGGAGAATGAATTGAAGTATCAAGCCTGAGCTGCTCAGAAAGGCTGGGATTTGTCCCAGCATTCAGCAGGTCGTGTTCCACCAAAATCATTGGGACTCAGGGTTGTGCATGCCCTTGTAAGTTGTAGTGGTAATGTCTGTTACTGTAGGTGCTGAGCACAGTGCCTCTTCTTAATGTTTTTGAATGGGCTCATCCACATCTTTAAATTGAGTGATAGAGCAGCAGGGGAGCTGGACTGGGAACCAGGGAGTTCCTCATGCCTGAGCTCGGTGTCCACGCGGGGGGGGTTTGCCTCAGGTGCTCCCAGGGACTTTGGTGGAAGGCAGCCCTTGGCTCAGTGTGTTCAGGGGGGTGTGGGCTGCCCTTCAGCAGCTCCCTGTGCCTGAGGCACCTGGGGGCTGAACCAGCAAGGGAGTGAACCCCTGTTCCCTGACAACTGACACTGGAGCTCCTGGCAGGGTGTGTTGTCCTACACTGACCCAGCACAAGGTGCAGAAATGCAAGGAGAGGGACTGAAGCCGACTGAGAATATGTGTGGGGGGAAATAATGTATGAGTCCAGGCTGACCTGCAAGTGTTTTTCTCCAAAGGAATTGTTCTTGGTTGTCAGGTTGTGTTGGTTGGCTGGAGCCTGGGCAGATAATCTCCTGGGAGGAGGATTGCTGGGAACTGCCCAACACGACGGTGGGACAGGTCTGAAATAAGGAAGGTTGTATTGAGCTATGTCAAAAAATGTCTTTTCTGGTGAAGGCACGTCACTGGCATCATTCCTGTAACCTTCCACACCCCCTTTTGTTACTCTTCCCCCAGTCACCCCCTGTGTGGTGTCTCAGTGGAGTGCCTGGAGTGGCTGTGCAGAGCCTTGCAAGACAACGTTTCGTGTCCGGAGGAGGCACATTGTCCAGGAGCCCAGGAATGGGGCAGAGGCATGTCCTGCTCTGGAGGAGAGGGCTGGCTGTGTGGAGTACTGGACTCGGCAAGGAACAGAGTGCAAACAGTCCCTCAGTAAGTCCACTGAAAATAAAAGTATCTGGGGGGTGATCGTGGGAAGGACTCAGGTCTGGGCCAGCAGAGCTGATCTTCACTATATTTGAAGAGTTGTTTTCAGGGCCTGTTTGCCCTGACCCTGCCTGGGTGAGAACTGAGCTCTTCACACAGGGCTTCCATGTGTCCTTCCCAGGACAGTGCTGGAGGTGGTGCCTGCCATCAGCTGTGTTCTGCTGTGTCTCAAAAGTGAGATATTGTGGGCCTGTTGTGCTCTCACCTATACAACTGTAAATCTCTGGCAATTTCGATAGGGTTGGCAGATATATGTCTGTTTAAAACTTCTGTAAGTGGATGTTGAACACTTTTTTTTGTCATTTGTGTATTTTTTTAATTTTATTTTATATGTTATCTGCAAAAAGTCACAAAGGAGCAATACCTGTCAGACAAGATATTACTTCTCTGCGCTGGAGCAGGGTGCAGGCAGAGGAGACCTACATCTAGTTTCTGGAGAAAAAGCCTGATTTTAGTTGGTTCAAATCAGCTTTTCATGACACACCTTTATCGAGTTTTAGAAGAATTGCTTGTCATTTTTGCTGATTTTGGGGTCAAAATTTGTCCAGTCTGGATGTCAGCAGCAGCTGACTTCTTCAAACCTGTTGAGAGTGGGCATTAAGTGAACATTGCCTCCTTCTCTGTCTTTTGGATGTGCCTACAACTAGGTTTACTCTGCTCAGCCCTACAGATTCTCTTTCCAGTGAAATGGTCGACTGTCACGGATAATATGAAAATACAAAGTTAGAATTGTTTTTGCCTGCTGCTGAAGATAAAACCCTATGACATTAAAAGCCCATCTTTGCTGTTTTGCAGACGTGAGGAGCCTTAGTGCAGCATTGCCACTGATGCTCTGTACCCTTTCTCTTTGGTAAACACAGTCCCAGCATTAATAACCACGGGAGGGTTTGGAAAAGCGAGGAAGAAAAGAGCTGCAGCTGATGGCAAGGAAAGAGCAGGGTAAGTTGGAGGAGGCTGTGCCCAGGAACTCAGTTGTATTCCAGCTGCAAAGTCTCTCTGGTTGCAGTTTGTGGCCCAGCTTTTTGCCCCTCAGAGCCAGTGTTCCCCAGCAGAATAGCAGCATTTCACTGGAGCCCTGCAGGGCCTCTGAAAGTTGGGGTTTACCTTGATGTGAGGCCAGTACAAGACTGAAATTCGTCTCTTCGTTCATGGTGTCACTGCTGTTCACGTGATCAAAAAGCCAAAGACCATTCACTTCAGCTCTTCTCAATGTAGAATCTGGTGCACTTTGCACTTCTTTGCATAAATGGGGTAAATTCTCAGGGGCCAGAGTTTGCTGTCTTGTTGCATGGGAAGCACATCCCTCTCCCATTTCAGCCCCCCTTGGCTGTAACATTGCCTGTTTTCCCCTGCAGCACTGTTTCACAGCACAGGTACAGGCAGGGCTGTGGTAAAAGCTCTGTTGCTTTTTTACCTTCTGCCATGTCTGTGTGTGCTGCCCTGCCTCCAGGCTGGTGCCTCAAACACAGGGAGCCTTCCCAGTCCTCCTCTTTCCCAGTTGGGCTCCTTGCTAGCAGGGACACAGTGCTGATGGGAAAGGTTATCTTCCACCCTGTAACCCCTCCTGCACAGCCTTGCAAGCTGGCGATTCCCCAGGGGTTCTTCCTGCAGTCCTTGGGCTTTGCCTGTTTCCTTCTCAGGTTTGGATAAAATCAGAAGCACAGAAGTGCTGTGTCAGTCTGGTTGTCCTCCCACTGAGATGTGACAGCCTCACTCTCTTAGGAGGGAGATCATCATAGGAAAACCTTTACAGACCGACCCTTAGGTCCTGCCACAAGCTGCTGTACAGAACCCATTACAGGTAACAGACAGGAGTTGGTCGAGAAAGTGTGGCTCAGCAAATGGACCTGGAATTGGATTAGTCAAATGCTTGATCAATCTGTGTCTCTATTTGTATTTTTGACCAGCAGAGGAGTTTTATTCCCTATTTAACCTTATTAAAATGCAAGCACACCACGTGTTCTGCTTTTAATGACCTCGGGCGTGGGGTTTTTTGGTTTGGTTTGATTTTTCTTAATTAGTGATCTGTGGTCTTCCTTTAGTCTGGCACTCCTGAGGAGGGCTCTGGCCTGGTTATTGAGCTGACTGACCCTCTGAGTGACTCTGCTTGCAGGTACTGTGTTGAGTTCCAGCTGGTGGCCATCACTCCGGGCTGCCTGCACAGCCACCACTCGTACACCCGCTGGATGCGCTACCTCCGGGAGGGCCACACGGTCTGTGTGGAGTGTCAGCACCCAGCCCTGCACTCCAGAAGTCAGCATTGCTCCGGGGATGGCACTGGGAGCAGAAAGTAAGAGTTTTAGCTTTTGTTTTCAGGTTGAATTTTTCATTCTTCTCCCTTGATCTGCTTGTTCCGGTGTCCCAGGGTGCTGCAGGGAGCTCTGTGCAGCACTCTGCATATATTCACTGCTCCTTGCTGCATACCAGGGGTTTCTTGAAGAGTTGAAATGACCTGGTGAAGCTCATGTATTAAACCAGGGCAGAGCTAGGACTGGGTGTGGGAGTACCTTCCCTTAGTCTGCTAAATCTCACTGGCCTTAGGGTGGCACAGTTGTGGAGTTTTTTTGTTTTAAAGACACTCCAGCCAGGCTTCCAAGGTTAATAGTCCTGTCAGATGTCAAACAAAGCCAATTCTGTTTCTGATTTTTCAGCCCTGGGGATTTTGTTTCTCCAAGTTTCTCCTTTTTGAGTACTTGTGGTGAATGGTAGCTGCCTGAGGGACTTGGGGTGTGTGCTGAGGTTGGATGGAAGTGGTAAGTCTCTGTACATTCAGCATCCTTTCCCTGGAGAGATGAAGGAGCTTTGGGGTGATTGATTTGCACCACCCAGGCTGCAGAAATTGGGCAGACTCCAGCAAAGATGAAGGGAATGGCTGAAGCTGTGAAACACCTGTGGGGCAGAGCCAGCAATGGGGTCCTGGCTCCCAGACCTCTGTGCTGGTCACTGGAGGCACAGTTCTACACTGCCTGAATCCTGGTACTCCTGACCCTGGTGCTGGTTTATTAAAGGCATCCTCTGAAGCTGATTAGCAGCCCTGCCTGAGAAAATCATTGCCCATCAGTGCTGGGCAGGGATATATTTAAAACTTATATAAATGTTGGAATAAGCACATTGGTTTGAATTAGAAACTCTAAACTAGGATTGTCAGGCCTGAAGCACACAATGTGTTGCACTACCAAGGCTGCCAATAATGGCCTTTGTGGGCAGGGTTTTTCTCAGGCTTTCAGGATGAGGAAGTCACTTTGGAGTTTGTTCCTTCCCTCTTCAGCTTGTTATGTAAGCTTTCAGATAAGGAAGGAAAAAATCCTGGTGTGGCCAGGAGTAGCTCTTACCTGCATTCAACCTGTAAATGATTATAAAAGCTTGCAATAATGTTATTTACTAAAACTCTGGAGCCAGTCAGGGGCATCAGATTAAGTGAAATAAAAAATATTTTCAGGACTTCATTTCTACATTAGGCTACAAAAAGAGGGGGCATCGTCATCACCTGACCTGGTGAACACTGCTGTGTGTGGAATGGAAGCACAAAGGAAAGGGAGCTGTGTCCTGTAGGAATGATGATCTGACCCTCAAATGCTGGCAGGCTGAAGGCTGGAGGGAGGCAGCGATAGCAGAGTTGGGGTGAATGGTGACTGGTTCACTGAAGTCAGGACTCAGCCCATGGCTCAGCAGGTAGTTTAAATCCAGCAGAATTGAGCAGGGCCTAGAAATTGTCTGTGTCACTATTTGACCTTAGAGTGGTGGGTCAAGGAGGTTGTCCAGGGCTCAGTATCTTGCTTGATTTTCTTGTTATCAGCATCTCAAGTGAAGTATTTACTATAGGTACATTCTTTATGTGAGCAGAGCTATCCTCTCATTTGTTTCCAGAAACAATATATTTTTTACCAGGTATCTTGGAGGAAAAAACTGACTTCTGTGATCTCTGAGAAGAAATTGGACTGTTGGGAACAGCCATTGAGTGGGATGAGGGAAATGTCTGTGAAAAGGCTTCTGCCTGCTGTTATTCCAAGGGCACATGTGAGCATTCAGGCTTGTGCCAGAGCAGTGCTCTGGGGCCCCTCGGGCTGGGATTTGCTCTCCAGATGTGGAGGGCATAAATGTGATGCTTGTAAAGAAAGGTGGAAGAAGATGGGAACACAACTGCTGCCCTGAGAAAGAGGAGGGTGGGAGGCCAAAGCTGACGCCAGAGTCTGGGATGCAGCATGTGCTGAGTGTTTCTCTGCCAGCTCACAAGTCACTCAGTGCACCCTCAGCTGGGCTCTCTGCTGCTGTGAGTGCACCCAGAGCCCTGGGCAGGGTGTGGCTGTGCCCTGTCCTCGTGCTGTCTCAGGTCTCCACGTGCACAGTGTCCCACCCACGCCGTGCCTGTGCTTGGCTTCCCCCTCGTGCCAGCGTTTGGTTCCCTGAAATATTGTTCCAAGAGTGACTCTCAGGAAGGAAAACAGCTGACAGAGTTTAAAATAAACTCACCAACGCTGGTATATTTTGATGAGTATTTCCTAATTATCTTCTTGTGTCTAAGTGGAGTCTGGCTTATAAATGCTTCAAGTTGAAGAGAGGTGCTTGTTATCTCTGCCTTCCACCTGTCTCCCACTCTGTAGAAGATGCTATTTTATTTTAACCCATGTTATGCAAGCTCAGGATGTTTCCCTAAGTCCTGGGTGTATGGCCAGATCTGGGGCCACCAGGTGAGGACAGCTAGGATAATCTAGCTGGCATTGCCTTTTTTGTTCTAGAAAGTTATGGGATAAACAAGGCAGAGCATTGAGCTGGGAAATAGATCTACTAATTTTGGATCCTCTTCTAGAAGATGTACAAATAAAGCACAGACTTGACATCTGTGAAACTGTTACCCTGTGTCTCGGAGGATCAGCTGCTCCTCATCATCTGGACCAGGGTGTGGTGCTTGCAGCACATGAATGTCCAGACTGCAGCAGTTTGTGCCCATGTTGTGGGACGGAGGGAGAGAGAGGATGGATGGACTTGATTTGACCTGATTTATAGCAAAGTCAGTATTTGCCTTCCCCACCAGCAAGATGAGAGTAAGCAAGTTGAGCTTACGTGTTTAAGGAGTAAAGGTAAAGCTGCAGCCCAGAGTTTTGAAGGGTGTGGGACTGCTCTGTGCACAGCCTGCTTTATCTGGGATCTTAATCCTCAGATTCTGGTGTTTTGAAATGACCCCGAGCCAGAAGAAAAACACAGCGAGCTTTTTCCAGCTGTGTGTGACACATAAATCCCTGCTGTGGAGCGTGGCACCTCATTAAGCCAAGGGCAGGGTTATCTCTGTGGAGCTAGAACAGTAATTCCACTTTCCACAGAACTGTAAACCAGAGAGAGCTGGGGGTCTGCTGGGCTGTCTGTGGGCAGCGCTCTGCACGAGGCCAGAGTTGATCTAGTTGTGATATTTGTGCTTCTCCAAAGGTCAGGGCTGGAAAACAGTGATGTGAGGAATTCCCTTAAACTGCTGAATGCTAAAATCTGGGAATGGGCACAGTGCTACAGCAAAATCTCCATTTCTGTGGCTGTGAGGTTTTGCTTCACACTTGTATGACCTGCAAGCCTCCCTGTGGCTGCTGCCTCTGCACAGTGGTAGAAAGGCAGAGTTGGGGCCATGGAGTGAAAATGGATGTTGTCAGACTAAATAGGATTTCCTGGGTGATTTAAGCCCTGGTTGTGGCTGCCCTGCAGTGGGGGTGCAGCTCATTCACTGTCTCCCTCTGCTGACTGTGTTTCAGGAATCAGCTGTTGCACTGGCAGGCGGTGGGGAACCCTCGGTGCAAGGGAACCTGGAGGAGAATTCGCCAGCTGGACACTTGCTCCTGCCCTTCTGTTCACAGCTTCTTGTTCATCTGACTTCCCCAGGCAGCCCCAGTGTGCCAGGGCTGTGGTGCCTCCTCTGGCAGCAGCAGGAGCCCCAGGCAAAGCAGCGACTGCTCCATGTTGGGGGGGCACCCAGGATCCTCTGTCTGTCTGTGCTCCTCGATTTCCAGAGAAATGAGGCTGGCTGGGAAGGGCCAGTCTCTTTCTTCCCTGAGAGAGACATGCCTGACCCTGCTGACTTCTTGCAAATCCCTCCTTTCTTGAGAGGATAGAGAATTTACCAAATAAGAAATGTGACAATAAAGGCCGTAAGAACCCAGGTTTAATTACTCTTTTTCTAAAGTCTCAATGAAGAATCAACAATGCAAAGTAATTCACTCAAGTGCCTTCTTTTCATGGCAATAGCACTTTGTGGATGCTTCCTGCTTGTGCTTGTGTATCTTTTCCTTCTGTTTTCACCCTCCCTGGTCTCATCATTTCTTACTGACCCTCATTCTTACAGAGGGTTGATCTTGCACTGCTGAGTTAAGGTCAGAACTTAGAAATGAGTCTGCTCAAATCTGTGAGAATAGAAGATATCAGGGACAAATTGGCCCTTGGACTTAAGGCTTCAAGGAGCGTCTCTTGAGTTGCCCCAAAGTGCAGTGCAGTCCTGGGGCTCTAAATAGGAAGGCCTGGCCATAGCCTTGTGTTTTTGACTGGGAAATATTTGAAATATTTTCCTTAAAATCTGCTGATTTATATTCATACTTTTCTATAAATGAAAATAAAGGAGACTGAAGATATTATCCCAGTGTCTGTTTGATTAATCTGTGTGATGCCATCTCTTTAGCACCTGAACCTGCCTAATTTGTTCCAGGCTTGCCACTGACTCCTCAGCTCCAGCAGGTCAGGCTGAAGGAAAAGTCACTGCTGCCCCATTCCAGAACTACTCAGGATTTCCCAGTGGAAGTGCAGCACCACGACCTACCACTGTGCAGAATTGGATGTGATATTTCTTTTGTTGTACACATGCTTCTGAATCTGCTCAGACAAAAATTACAGAAAGGACTTGTGCTCTGGGGCAGAGGCGCTGCAGGGCAAGATTGAGGTCATTCCATCTGTCACACCCAGGTGAGAGGCTGAGGATGGCTCCAGCAGAGTTTTAATGCTCAAGTTCAACTCTGGTCTGGAATAGGATCACAAAAGCCATCTAATGACCATGAAGGTCTTGCATGGAGACACAAATGAGCACTGAGGCATGTGGTGGACTCTGAATGCTCTGAAAGTGCCTGATGTCCTTGGCCAGTGCAGCAGGGATTTGAGAGCAGGGTTCTGCTTCTCATTGTGTGTTACAAGCTGGCTGTGGATTAATGACTCACAGGGGGATAATCTCATCCCAGAGTAGCAAGATTTTAAGACCAAAAAAAAAAAGTCTTGTACTTCACTGTGTCTCATAACCTGTGATGAACCTGTGGCTGTCCCAGGAGCATTTGCTGGCTGTGAGTGGAGGGATGTGATCCCAGAGATGGGCTGGGAATAAATAACTGGAGAATGTCATTTCGGTTTTTGCAGTGAAGATTTCTGTCAAACTGAAAGAGAGTTTCACCCTTCAGTGGGGATCTGTAATCAGAGTAGCATTTAGTCATTGGAAGGCTTTCCTTGTCCTGCAGAAGCCCCTTATTGAGCCACAGGGTCCTACAGAGGTGGGTGGTCATTTCAGGAGCAGAAAGGAACCAGCTGTTGGAAATGTTTTTTACTTTCAAAATCTACCCAAACTCTTGATCTTATGAAACCCTGCTTTTACCAGATGCTTTCAGAATTGAGGACTGAAGCTATAAAAGACACAATTTTTGCTTAGTAATGCCTAAAAAACTAAAGTCTTCCACAGGGGTTTTCTTTGCTGCTGCCTCATCCCTGAGAGCTGATAACATGAGGTGCTGTCAAGAGCTGCTGGTGGTGGCATGGCAGGACAGTGCTTTCCTCCTGTCACTGTAGCCTGGGCATGCAGGAGTAAGAAAGAATTAGCCCCCGAGGGACTCTCATAGCAGCTGTATTTCCGCACAGGCTGTCACTTGATGAAACAAGACATTGCAAATGTCTCTGCATCAGCACATCCTAAAAAGGGCTGTGCCATGTGCTGGCTTCACCTCCACACCTTGTGTGACTGCACAAACAAATCCTGTTGGTAAACTCCTGGGGGAAGGAAGTGTGTGTGTGAGAGAGGGGGGGAAAGAGTGAGCCTTTTAAGTAGATAATGAAGCTGTCAGATCACTTTTCTGGCAAATGAAAATGAGCTCATGCTGTTGACACATACTGGGTCCTGCCTGTTTCCCTCTGGAAGCTTTATCACCATCCATCATAATCTCTATAATTTCTACTACCTGAGTTTTAGGAAAGATGAGACTATTGGAAATCCAAGGCAAAATGCTCCTGAAAAATGGCTTTGTACAGTAAACAAGCAAGGCAGCCTCACATGGGGGAGAGGCTGCTCTCCAAGGAGCAGAGCCGTTCCCATGACAACGCCAAAAACCTTCCACCATTGGGTATCAACAGCAGAACATCTCCCACGGCAAAAACACGAAGCCAGGAGCTCAGTCCTCATCTTCCATAAATCATCCTGTCGGGCTCTGATAAAGCAGAACTGCCAGTTGTGCTCAGGCAGCTCCACCCTCCAGGCACCCGCCTGGCTCCAGATGAAAGGAGGAGCAAGGGAAGCCAAAGCACCAGTGAGTCGGAGTTATGTGAAAGGAAAATTAAGCTCAGCTGATGCTCCTACACTTCCCTCTGCTCTCCAGCTGAGGATCTCAATTTTTAATGATGAAAAGCCAAGCAAGAAAATCCAGGCCCTTTTAAAAGCTGCTGAAGAAGCCACGTCATTTTCTGCTGGAGAGAAATGTTTCATCGTCATGGGGTGGAGGGAGAATTGTGCTTTTCCTCACCCTAACCCTGTAGTGTCCAGCCTGGAATTCAGCAGTTTTCTTCTACATTTGAAACAGAAGGTGGTAAAAGACCATTTTTTACATGGTCTCTTCATTAGGTGCCCTGGCATGTGGGATTGCAGTCATCTGAATGTATGTGGATCTGCTTCCTTCCCTAAGGAAACAGGCCTCGTGCATTTAGAAACAGGAGATAAAATATGCCCAGAAAGCTCGGGAGCCAAAGGTAAAGGAAAAGAACAACAACAAAAAAATTAATTTTCTTAAATAGTTTTGTTGCTCTGAGGACAAACTGTTTCTTTTTATAGTTGAGCACACTGTGCTGGAGTGGTAGGAGTCAGGAATACTTCTCAATAAATGAATTTTTTTTTATCCTTAATTTTAAGTATTTTGAGCCTTTAAACTCTTCTCTCTTTTTTCCTTTACTTTTTTTCCCTGTCCTTTTTTTTTTTTTTGTGAGGAAATTTAGAAGTTCTTTCCAGTTTTAACATTAGTTGCTTGGTGATAGTCGTGATACTGCAAGAGGAGGAGTATGGGTGAGAAAGGAGAGGAGAGTCTGAACCAGCAGAGATTATTCTGTTCTGTAAATGTGTCTCCTGCAGCCTAAAACTACAAACCCAAATATGAGAAATATTAAAAAAAAACCCCAAAACCGAAACACCAAAAACCCAAACCAACAGTCTGGTTCTCCCATTCTCAAGCTGGGTGAAATATTGAGATCAGAAGAACCAACCCTTTACTTAAAATCGGGGACGAGGGAAAATCTTATGTGGAATCAGTGTGACAAGTAAATGTTCAAAGTTCTTATTGCAGAGCTTTCTAGGGTGGGAAAGAATTTCTTCTTTAATAGTACTCTGCATTCTGCTCTGTGTTCCCACCTTACACCAAACCCCACCATTCACGGGAGGATCTCAGTTGCTCAGACCAGGGGCTTTCCACAAAACTGGGAGGGAGTGGATTTTCCAGAGGCTCTGAGGAAATGGGGTGAAGCTGAAGGTTTGGGTGCTGTCCATGCTCTGAGCAGCCTGTGCTGTGCAGGCAGGAGCCCACTGGAGGTCAGATGGTGGGGCCAGTAGTGTCCCCCCTGGACTCACAGCTGTCTGGAAGAGTGGAAAATGGCCAGATCCATGAAAGGAAAAGTCAGTTACGGAAGGGTTTGTTCAGCATGAGTCCATCACCTGTTGATCAAAGGGGAGAGGGAAGGGGGGTCAGAGATGATTTAAGATCCCAAACCACAGTCAGACCTGCTTGTTCTCAAATCTCTGCCTTAGAGCACAAACAGAGGGAGATAAAAAAACCCCAAACCCCAGTTCTCAAACCAGCTCGTGTTCAGGCGGCTCCTCGGCCTCTGCCATAGGGGGAGATGGTAAAGCTTAATAAGGAACTTCATTTTACACAAGATCCTGGCTCTGTAAAACGCTGCATTATAATTGACTGTGTTAATTTGTGTGGTTAGTTTGCTCCTTTTCTTAATCTTTGCATCTATTAATTATTGCAGAACAGTTCTTGCTGATAACTCCCCGGCAGTTTGTGCTGCTGTTCTGAAATTATAAAATGATGTAGTTGGCAGAATGGGCACAGACATGTACAGTTAATTGGCTTTTTGCAGAAGGAAATTGCATAGTATAATAATGTGCCCAGGGTACCATGGGAAGTGCAAGTTCTTATTGCTTTAGTAAATAGGATTGGGAGAATGTGAATCTGGATTATATATCACCTCGGAATTTATCCCAAACTTGTGGAGGGTTTCAAACCCCTGTCGCTGAGCCCTGGAGTCACAAACTCGTTGCTGGGAGGCCTCCTGTTGGTTTTCCCCAGCTCAGTCACGTAGGTAACAGGTTTAACTGGAGAGAACCAGGGTCACTGCTCTGGCTGGAGGCTGTGCCTGGAGTCCCAGGAATCACACCATGGGAAAATGTGGTGGGTCCTGGGGCTGGTGAGAGGTGGGCTGGGAACACCCGGAGCTTTGGGAGGACAGAGCACTTCTTTTCTCACCTCTTTCTTTAGGAAGTAGGACTGAAGTCACAGAGGAGATTTTTCTAAGTGAGAAAGGTTGTTGAGAATGAATGTTTTTCATTTCCTGCTAAATGCAAGTCTCAAAAACAAGGGGTTTTTGTGCTGTTTTTTTGTTTGCTTGTTTGTTTTTCCCCAACCTGAATGCACAATCTTGGGTCAACCTGGAAGGTGTTGCACAAACTGGGCGGTTTTGGTGTCTGCAAAGACTTTCTTAGATAAAAATGTGAACAACTTGAAGGAAATCTGAAGGATAAATGGAGGTTGAAAGCCTATTTCTGGTAAGAAGCTGTTTCCCTTGAAAAGAACAACTCATCCCTCAAAAAGTGTGAGTAGCAAATGCTCCTTATTTCTCCCTGCTGCCCCATTTGAAAACGTCAATAATTCG